TTGGCAAACTTGACAAGTTTCCACGTACAGCTTAGCATCTTTTAACATCGTGGGCCACCAGAACCTTTGCAGCAAATTGGTTGCGGTCTTCTTGTACCCAAAATGGCCGGTGGCGTCATGACACTCGCCTAAAAACAAACCACGCAAAGACTCTTTATCAGGGACACACAGACGTTTATTCCCTTCCTTCTCGAGAAACAGCAAGCCATTGACCAACTCAAACTCGGCTGAAGTTTGTTTATCCTTCGCCTCGAGTCTGCGTATGATCTCAGACATAAACTGGTCCTCTCGATAGGCTTCCACCAAGGATCGAGTGACATCATCCGTAAGATCATACTCTGTAATCAGCGCACCTGAGAAGTCAGGTCTACACGACAAGGCATCAGCAACCTTGTTGTACTCACCCTTGATGTACTGAGGGTCAAAGTCATACTGCTCAATGACTTCTATCCAACTCTTCAATGCGTCAGAGAGTACAGGCTGAGTTCTCATCCATCTCAAGGTCTGATCATCAGTCCTGAGGATGAAGAACCTCCCAAGGAGATAGTGTCACCAATGGGTCAGCGCCTTGAACACCGCATAGAGTTCTTTCTCATAGGTGGACTTAGCCAACTTCTGAGACGGCATTTTCTTGGACATGTACTCAACAGGCTTCAACTTTGGCCCCTCCTGCTGCGCAAGCACGGCGCCAATGCCATATTGACTAGCATCCGTGGTTACTATAAACAGCTTATCAGGATCGGAAAGTTTCAAGACTTCATAATGCGTTAGTGCATGCTTCAGATGTCTGAAAGCAGCCTCGCACTCATCTGTCCACTCCCACGGGGTGTCAAGGCGGGTCAGATCAGTCAAAGGAGCGGCCACTACGCTATAGTTCTTTACAAAAGTCCGGTAGTAGCCTGTCATTCCTAAGAAAGATCTCATCTCAGTCACAGACTAAGGGCGTGGCCAATCACGAATGCTGGCCACCTTCGCGTCATCGGGCTTCAACCCTTCCGCGGAGATCTCATGACCCAAGTACAAGACACGGGTGCGCCCAAACTCGGACTTCTCACCGTTGATCTTGAACTTGTGCTGTCGCAGGAGACTAAGGACTTTGTCCAAGTGCGCAACGTGCTCCTCGACAGTCTTACTAAAAATAAGTATGTCATCGAGGTACACGATGACAAACTTATCCAAGTAGTCATGGAATATCCGATTCATAGCGTGCTGAAAGGTGCCAGGAGCATTGCACAGGCCAAAAGGCATCACCACAAACTCATACAGACCATACTTGGTCTGAAATGTGCTTTTGTGTTAATCCTCGGGCCGGATTGCAATCTGATGGTACCCGGACTTCAGATCTATCTGCACAGGCCAAAAGGCATCACCACAAACTCGTACAGACCATACTTGGTCTGAAATGCGCTTTTGTGTTGATCCTCGGGCCGGCTTGCAATCTGATGGTACCCGGACTTCAGATCTATCTTACTGAAGTACCGACACCCTTGCACTCTATCTAGCAGATCGTCGATGCGCGGTAGGGGCTCTCTGTTCTTTACATTGATGGCATTGAGACCCCTATAATCAATGCACATCCTGAGAGTGCCCTCCTTCTTCTTAGGTACGAATAGTACTGGAGATCCGTAAGGAGAGACACTCGGCCGGATCCAACCCTTCTCTACGAGTTCCTTGAGTTGGCGGCGAAGCTCATCAAGCTCGCCTGGAGACATCCGATAGATCCTACCCTTCGAAATACTAGACCCTGCGATAATCTCTATCGCGTGGACGACCTCCCTATCAACAACCCCTCTTGGTTCTTCAAATAGATCAGGGTACTTGGCAACTACTCCCTCTATCTCCGGCGGCATTTTCACCGGCTCGCCTGCAACAGAGACATAAACTAAGTACTAACCCTCCTCCTGATGTTGCTTATAGTAGTTATAGAATGTGCACACATGCATCCATGGGAATCGATCAGACTACTAGCTTTGAACTTGTATAGTCTGGCGGTCCCTCCACCTGGCAAAGTGTGTTTGACCACTTTTCGGTCCCAGTCAAACTGGGGTTGTGCCAAAGAGAGGTAGTACATACCTAACAAGATATCCATAGGGAGATCGTCGCTCACTAGGAATGAGACACGATGCCTCAACTCCCCTCCCGCGAACGGGAACGGGCATTCTACATCCTGAAGGTAGTCATTAACTACCATGCGTTGTTTGTTGGCACAGGTCGACTCCACAGGTCGACTCAGGCGCTGCACTTGCCCCTGTAAACGCAGCCTCTCAACGCACGCGCGACTAGTAAAGTTCGGTGTCGAGCAAGTGTCCTAATAGGCCCCGGCCTTGCGGCCACCTACGACTATCTCGCTGAAGAACATCTCACCCTTCGGGGCTTTAGCTAGTGCCGTCCAAGAAGCTAGCGGGTCTAGTCTAGACCACTCCTCCTCTAGCTCCTCTAAGGACTCAAAAACATTCATTGAGCAAAGGGTCGATGGGTCTGAATGCGTTTGCGGGACGACAAGGGAATCAGTAGCTTGGGCCATAATGCGAGATGGCGAGGGTGTCTCCACCACCTCGTCCCTAGTAGGAACAACTACTATTCCTACTGGCCTGACGTGTTTCCCGGAGCAGTGCCTGATGAACTGGCAACATTGCTACCTACGGGAGATGAGGATCCTACCGCCTGCCCCATAGTAGGCGGGATCTTATCGGTGACCTTCTTGTTCCTACATTTGAATTGGTTATGGCCGTATTGACCACAACGGATGCAGGCCTGACGGTTCCACCGATCTCTCCACACGTCCTCGGAAAGACCCGCTTTCTCCCATGGAGGAGCATTGGGGTCAACTTGATTCCTAGACCGGGAGCCCCCTCGGCGTCTACCGGTCCCCTTAACTTTTTGTTGGGTTACGGCAACGACTACTCCACCCTCTGAAGTATGGCCACCTGCCTCTGCACCTACTCCCTCTTGGAAGTTGCCGTCCAACTCGATGGTTGAACCATCGTTGTCGACAAACATGATGCGACCCTTCGCCTTCCAGTTGGGAGGCAGTGTCTTCTTCCTCCCGTCCGTAGTGGGTGTTTGTCCATGCCCTATCTTTGCTTCTAGGTCTAGGGCCACCTTGCTGAACGAAGGAAAGTTGTGCATATTGATATTGGCCTCTTTTGCCAACTAGTTCCTGAGAGGCTGGGATAAGCATCTCAAGTACAAAGTCAGCATGACCTGGGGGTCATAGCGCACACTTGGGACACAGATTAGACACTCAACAGCGTCAGTGGCTTCCCTAACTGACTTAAACTGCCGCGTGTGCAGTGTCAGGATCGCATCAGTGGCCTTTTGGGCCTCCTGAGGATCATGCCATCTCTCTTCCACCATCTTCAGGAAATCCTCCAGTTTCTGAGAGGCTGCCCAAGAGCGGAAGTCATGGCCGTGCCCCTGGAGTTGTACTAAACCACTCAACCATCTTGCTGCACTACCCTCTAGGTAGGATGCAGCCACAAGCACTTCTTCGTGCGGCAAGGTGAGTTTACACCTGACGTAGACCGGCACTGCCCTCAACCAAGTGTCGAGGTCTTCGCCTCCCTTGTCCCCTGTAAAAGGTTTAGGAGCGGCGATGGCCGTCTTTGGAACCCACCGAGTTTGTCCCGGTCCTTGCACTACCCCGGGCTGTGAACCCGGTGATAAAGGTTGCTGTGCTAGCTGCTGGGGCTGTGTGCCCTGTGGCTGCACAGGTTGCGAGACAGCAGGCTGCGTGGTAACTGCAACATGCAACGGACTCTGAGTGAACACTGTCTGTACAGGAACCTGCACACTACTCCCTGCTGTTACCCCTCCTGACAGAGGCATGCCCAGGGAAACGATAGCAACCGATGACGGGGCTACATATGGGGAAACCCCAATCACCGGTGGAACAGAAAAAGGAGGATATGGCACGGGCCAGGCACCAGGCCCTGCCGGTGATGGTGCTCCCTGAGAACGCCCTACCAAAATGGCTAGGCTCTACTGGATATCATGAAGGATGGTAGTTTGATGCTCCTGCATCTCTATTACTCCTAGCAGGGCCCTCCTAACTACCCTCACATCATCATCCATATTGTTCAGGTCCATCGACTCTAACTCCTCTATGTCTGCCCCTCTCCGTTGCATCCTGGTCCTTCTAATCATCATCTCCTTCTCCCTTTTTATCTGTCCTAATGCCTGCTGTAGTTGTGCCTCTTGCAGGGCTGCCTGCTGGATGGAGACATCCTCTGGGGTCAACACCGCGGGCTGGCTTGCCATTAAGCCAGTGGACTGACTCACGGTCTGCGCGACCGTGCACCCGGCGGTACCTAAACTACCGGCTTGGGAAGTCTATTGCGCAGACATGCTCATGATTGTGGTAGCCATGGCTGCTGTAGCACCGGCCTCGCTAGCTAATGCCCTGCTGGCCTCGGCTGCTCTAGCTCTCCTCTGCTGCTGCCTCTCCCTCTGCCGGCGGAACAGTTCCCTATCACCCTCCGATCCTAGGGACACGTGAGTTATTGGGCCTCTAGCTGATCGCAAAGTCCTGAGGTCGTCCTCTCCGGTGTCCTCCCTGCCGCTCATAGGCTACAACATTGTGCACCGTCTAAACTAGATCATTCAGGATGCCTACCGCAGCATAGTGCACAGGCCAACTAATTAGTGGTGGCTATTTTGGAACATATTTCATTTGGGGTCAACAGGTAAGTCAGATTCCTACTGTCAATACTATTTTTAGTAAGATTAGTTCTCAAACAGAGGAAGCATCAGGAATAAATAATATTCTAAACTAATGTTGTCTGTCAGATGTCACATGGCTGTCCATCTAACTAATCAAAAATAAAAATAATGTTCACTGAGCGGGTCTATTCACAGCTTGGAATTTAAACCCGAACTTATTACCTGGAATCTACCTCTCCCTTTGTTCTTCTCAATGTCACGGTGTCACGTTTCTACACATCAGAAGCCAAGCGTGTCAAAAAGGTGTGCAATCAAGTCCCACCCCTGTGCCCCAGGTTATCGTCGAGCAAGGCAGCCACAACACTCTTATTTATCCTCGTACGCCGACGAGCCTTACACTCGGTTGATCTGGCTCTGATCAAGAGGCAATTTAACGTCCGCCCCCAAGTGACATCAAGAATTATTTTACGTCGCAACAGGACGACGATCACAGCCAGATCAGAGCCGAGTCCCCAACCAGAAATGTTTATAGACGGTCTAGTATGCGTCTTAAGAGGCTGCCACACTCGAGTTAACCCCTATCTTGCGCGAGCGGCAAAACCAACGACTTGCAGCGAAGCATGCGTGTACTAGTCCCAGCGGGTTGGCATGGTGACCGTGACCCGAGTGCTTCGTCCAGGGCCCTTCAAGAAGCTCCGCCCGTCTTCCCCCAGATGCTCCACGTGAACAATCTCGACTCTCAAGGTTGAGCGCACTCGACACCTCACGATGAGAGGACTCTCAAGACATAACTCACAACCTCACGGTAAGAAGTAATGAAGAGGGTAGATAAGGTTAAGAGCAACGTACCTCATTCAAGCCGCCCCCAACCACAGAGATAATCTCACCAGATGACCAAATGGCAATTGCGATGACCACATTAGCTTCGACACAACCAGCATTATCCACCGTTCCACCTCAGCATCAATCGCACATATAGAATGTTCTCATCACGCTGTCCAGACCACATACACTTCATATAGCCTTCCTGGCGAACCCCTCACCTCCAGCGTCGCCTTCACACTCGTCTCCACCCTCCTCACTACACACCACTTACGGCCAAACTCGCCCAGCAGACCGCATGTATGTACCACATAAGGCAGAAGACAAGYGCCMGATGAGCGCAATCGTACCACARCTCCGATACCAAATTGCAAGGAAGATGAGCATTAGCGAACTCCAGCAATCAAACAGCATCATACATATGAGTCCAGATAGTCTTGACCTCGAACCAACAGCAGAAATGCATCACGAGATTCACCAAATAAGAACACACCAATAGTT